CCCGAAACTCGAAGAGCCAGCCAAGTCCCTGGTCCACGAGGACCGAAAACGGCAGACCCGAGCCGCAAAGAACCGCCGAAGAGCTCGGGGGTTCGCCTTTGGCCCATGGGGCACCAACACCTCGAGTCGCCACGCAGCTCCCACGCAGGCCACGCCTTGGCAGAATTCGGTTCGCCTGGGGCCCCGACGCGCCGTTCACGCACCGGGGCGCCCTGGCACCCCTCCTCCTCCTCCTCCTCCTCCTCCTCCTCCTCCTCCTCCTCCTCCTCCCTCCTCCTCCTCCTCCTCCTCCTCCTCCTCCTCCTCCTCCTCCTCCTCCTCCTCCTCCTCCTCCTCTCCTCCTCCTCCTCCTCTCCTCCTCCTCCTCCCCTCCTCTTCTCCTCCTCCTCCTCCCTCCTCCCCTCCTCCTCCTCTCCTCCTGCTCCTGCTCCTCCTCCTTCCTCCTCCTCCTGCTCTGTCTCCTCCTCCTCCCCTCCTCCTTCTCCTCTCCTCCTCTGTCTCTCCTCTCTCCTCTCCTCCTCCTCCTCCTCCTCCTCCTCCTCCTCCTCCTCCTCCTCCTCCTCCTCCTCCCCCGAATGGCCCCACGGCATGCCAAAATGCCACATCCGCGGCCTGGTTTCTTAAATGGGGGGCCCGCCGTGGTTCCCGCTCTGCGAGCTCCGCTCGGCGGGCCCCCGGGCGGGCGATCCCGCGAGCGCCAGGAGGCACTGGTCGTGTACTGCGGCCGAACGACAAAAAACAAATCGGGCAGGGACGATTCAACAACTACAGCCCGGACGCGGAACAAAGAGCACCACTCTGGGTACAGGAGGGGCTCTGGTTCCCGGGGCGGTCCTTCGATCCAGGCTGGGGGCCCCAGTCGAAGCCGAGGCCCGCTGTGGTCAGAAAGGCCCCGTCGTTCCTTATGCAGCGTTCGTTATGGTAGCACGACGGCTGCATTTTTTCGCGTCTGGGTTGCTGGCTGCGGCCCGGCGGCCTCGTCGGCGACTGCGACGACGATGACGCAGCAGGAATAAATAGTCAATCGTCCCCGTTCAAGTTGGGCGCTGCGACACCCCCCTGGGAATTTCTTTCATCACTGAGTCGCACTCAGGAGTCTGCAAGGTTGGCAATGAAAGGTAGAAGAGATGCCAGGCAGGCACAATGGCAAGAGGGTAAGGTGGGCTCGCATATCCCCGCCAGCCCAGCCCCCGACAGCCCGCCGTTCTGCGGCGTAATTTATCGGGCTGCTGTCGGGTAGCTCCGAGTGGCTCTGGTGATTCACTGGAGTCCCTGGAGACGGCGCCAGACGGCCCCAGACTGCCCAAACTCGCCCCGGGGTGGCCCTGGAACAGCTTCAGATGGCCCCAAAGCGCTTTCCAGGAGGGCCTCAAAAGGACAACCATTGATTCCGCATTGGCGTTTGAAGGATCTTGACTTTCCTCGCCTCTGCGGGTTGCTGACAATCCAAGAAGGCAACAAGAAGCCTCGAAACGGGGGGGGGCCAGATTTCTTCGACAAAGAAGCACTGAGGTCACTCAACTTCCTGCATCGCGCCCGCCGATGCGCGACGCGCAGTTAGCTTCGCGCCATCGCGCCGCCACCCAAGTGACGGGCGCCTGTCCAATATTCTCCAACCCAAGGCGCGATGCGCGAAGCACGGTGATTTTCGAGCCCCCTCGGATGACCTAGAAACACGTGCCTGAGCCATGAATCGAACCGAGGAGGGAAAAACTCAGTGGCAATCTGAGCGGCCGCAGATGGCACCAGGCACCGCGACCAATAACGTGACACCAAGGCCTCAGGAGGAGGGACGAGGAGAGGCAATGAGAAAAGAAGGCCCCATGATGGCCCACGAGACCGCCAGAATGGCCCAACGAGGGCCACAACACAGCCCGAGAGACCTCGAAGACGGCGTTACAGCGCCCCAAGAGCCAAGTCGGCTCAGTCATATCGTTAGGTCCTCACGACGGTCTCCGAATGCTTCTGACGGGCCACGCACGCCCTAAGACGGCCCAAGAAGGTCCAGGCATCCTCGAAGAGGCCCCAAAAAGACCCCAAGAGGCGCCCAAAAGGCTCGCAGGAGGTGCCAAGAAACCTTCTCCTCTCCCTCTTCCTCCCCCCGACGGCCCCACGACATGCCAACATACGAATGATATGAATGAGAGGGCTGCGACGCCGACAACGCCGACGCCGCCGCGGCCGCCGACGCCGACGCAGAGGCCGACGCCGACGTCGACAACGACGACTACGACGAGGACGAGGACGACGGCATCGACGACAACGACGACGACGACGACGACGACGACGACGACGACGACGACGGCGGCGGCGGCGGCGGCGACGGCGACGGCGACGGCGACGGCGACGGCGACGGCGACGGCGACGGCGACGGCGACGACGACGGCGACGGCGACGACGACGACGACGATGACGACGGTGGCGGTGGCAGTGGCGGCGGCGGTGGCGGCGGCGGCGCAGCGGCGGCGGCCCGCCCACCGCCGACGTCGGACAAAGGCTCCTGCGTGCTCTCGACGATGTGCCCGCGTGCTTTCCGCGACGGCTCCGAAGCGCGGTCCTGGCCGCCCCCCGCGGGGTTACGCGCGCCCGGGCGGCGCGCTGGCACGCCGTTGCCCGAAGCGCGCGCGCCTCCTCCTCCTCCTCCTCCTCCGCCTCCTCCTCCTCATCCTCCTCCTCCTCTTCCTCCTCCCTGCTGCTGCTGCTGCTCGTTCTCCTCCTCCTCCTCCTCCTCCTCCTCCTTCTCCTCGTCCTCGTCCTCGTCCTCGTCGTCGTCGTCCTCCTCCTCCTCCTTCTCCTCCTCCTCCTCGATCGCCTCCCTGGGCTCAGCGGGCACAAGATTTCCCGGGCGTTTTCGGAGCCCGGGTTGGTCCCCATCAACCGCGCCTCGCCGAGGGCTTTCTGGGGGTGCCAGAATCGCTCCGAACGGCCACTAGGGAGCTGAGTTGCACAGATCCCCGGCGTCATTATTTTTAAGACAACGTCGGCCCCAAAAGGTCTAGACCCATTCCCCAGGACCGGTTTTCATCCTGAGTCGATTTGTGACGGTCCTGGGGCCTGGCGAGAGCTCCCAAAGGCCGAACACAGCAAGACCATCATTACTCCCTCGTGATTTTTCCGCGACGCGAGGGGGTCTGGGTACGTATGACCCGTAAGCTAAGGGTCAGCGTTATCGCCTCTTCCGCCTCGGGGCCTCGAAGCCTCGAGGCTGCGGGCAGCGCCACCGCGAGCCTCCGCCGCCTCCTCGTCATCGCCGTCGTTCTACCGATCCTGCTCCTGCCGTGGCTGTTCTCCTCCCCCCATCCCCCCTCTCTCACACACAACACAGAACACGAACCAAGACAACCAGCATCCGGAAGACACATCCAGACAGCATCTTTTCGCCGTTTTTGGCTCCTGGAGGCCCTCGTCGGGCCCCAGACATCTAAAGCAACATACTCGGGACGGAAACGACAACGACCCAGGGGAAAGGACCAGGACTTCCGGGAAGCCTACTTAAGAACAGTCAAGACATCAGATGTCTGGGAATACATCTCCTTCGCTGTGTGACCGCCCTCCCTCCCCCCCACAACACAAATCACGAATTCCACCAGCCCTCTGGGCTGAGGTGCTGTGGGGAACGTCCTCTCCCATCTTATTCCCCCCCCCCATCCACCATCGGAGAGGGGTTTATCACTACTCCTTGTTAATCTTGTTAAGATGCACCCTCTTCCCCTACCCGACCAGCGACAAACTAGGGCCAATGAGGGCCCCCCCCCCGCCATCTCTGCCGAAACATCAATGCCAGATGCACTTTCCAGTAAAATCTTGGGTCATGCTCGGGAGGGGTGCGCGAACACTTTGTCGTGTTTTTGAATAAGACGGCGGGGTGCCAACATATAGCGTGAACGGCACTTTGCGGTTGAATCTGGATCATGCGCGGGTGCCCCGCGATCACTCCTCATGGTTTTGGACAGAGACGGCGGGGGTGCTGGCATAGTGCCTGCTGTGCAGGCACACCAGACATCAGGATGACACTTCGCCGCGTTTGTGCGTTGGTCTTTGAGACGGACGGTGGGGTCAACATGCTTCCCGATGTGCGCGAGCGCACCTGGCACACTCTGCGTGTGCCCCGAACGTGGCGCACCTGGCGCAGCGAGCATGCGGCACACTCGGCGCATGTGGAGCACGTGGCACATCTTGCGCACGAGGCGTGCCTGGCACGCTTGGACCCCTTGGGTGCAAGGGGCGCCTGGCACGCATGGCGCGCTTTTGCACCCGTGGCGCACCACGCCACAGCGTCGCGCACCTGGGGTCTGTACTGGGTCCCAGTAGCTGCCCATCCAAAGGCGACCGCTGAATATGCTGAGTCTCGTGTACTACTTGTGTGTTGGGAGGGCAGGTGGGGGTGAGCCAAATGGCTTGCGTCTGGGAAACATGTCTTGACCCCTCCCCCATCATGTCCCTACCCTTGGGTCTGGACGGATGGGGCGGGGCGAGGGGTTACAGCGAGAAGGCACAGACCATTGTTCGGACCTGTTTTGGCTTCTGGGGGAGGCAGTGCTGATTCTGCCCCCCTCGCGGTGTGACAGCCGAAATCCCACCAGCCCTCTGGGCGTAGGTGGTCTAGGGAGGTCCCTCTTCCAACCCCCTTCTCCTTCGGGGAGGGGTTTACCGTTTACCCTTCGCCCCTACCTCCTCCCCTGGACCTGGCCGGGCCGCCCCGCGAGGTGCCAGGTGGTACTTGTTGTTCCAAGATGGCTCCAATAGGGCCTCAGGGAGCCCAATATTACCTTCAAGATGGCTCAAGAAAGATAGCCCAAGATGCTTCTAGTCGGCTCCCAAAATGCTTCAAGAGGCCCCAAGAACGCTCCAAGACGGCTCCAGGAGGCCCCCGAGACCTCCAAGGAGGTCTCCCCAAAAACCCCAACCCTTCCAACACCCAAGGGAAGTCAATGTTGTTTGCTTTCGCGCCTTTTCGATTCTGATGGCCATCCGAGGCCTCAAGATGGCTCCACGATGGCCCAAAAAGGGCCCGAGGAGGGACCCACGAGAGCCCAGAGGTGGCCCAACGAGCGCCCAGGAGTGCTTCACGAGCGCCCCAAGCGCGCCCCAAGGTGCGACTTTGGGGGCTCCCAAAGGGGGGGGGGGGGGCGAACTGGGGAACCCCTCTTCTTTGATTGAACTCCTCAAAGATGGCGTCAAGATCGCTCCTAAGGCTCCCAAGAGCGCCCCAAAAGGGCCCCGATAGGCGCCCATGCGGCCCCAAGAGGCGCCCAAGATACCTTCAACGCGCTCCCGAGAGGCCCCCAAGAGGCTTCAAGAAAATCCTCGAGGCACCCAATGCGCTCAAAGACGGCCCTGGTCTTGCCAAAATGCCCCTCCTCGTCCTCCTCCTCCTCCCCCTCCTCCCCCTCCTCCTCTTCCTTGTCTACTGACTCCTCCTCCTTCCTCCTCTTCGCCATCCTCCTCCTGCTTCTCCTCCTCCTCCTCCTCCACCATCCTCCCCCTCTTGGAGTATCGGACGGCTTTTCCCCTGTGTTCTTCTGCATGCTACTCCACTTCCCTGATCACCTCAACTCCCCTGGACACCGTTTCTGGATGGGCTGGTGAGAATTTTTGTTTTGGGTCGCGGCCGCAAGCGAAGGCGCAGGCGGCGTCAAAGGTCGACCCGGGCTACGGGCGGAACCTGATTACGCTGGTGGGGGTACTTTGTGCTCGCGAGCGCAAGCGGGAGAGCCGCGAGCCGTCAGGAAGATGCCAAGTAGCAAAGACCCAAATTACGACCGCCAGAACGGGGCCGAACGCGGCAAGCGTGCAGCTAGCGAGCGGCGGAAAATGTAAGCTACGCAACGAGGCGCTCGACCGCCGCTCAGAAGGCGAGAACACCTGGACCCAACTGGCGGTGGGTTCGATGGCGCCGACATTGCCACAGCGTCACCTTCGACGAACCTCTTCTTGGCGACAGGTCTGCACGTGCCGAATGTGAAACCAGCGCCCCGCTGCAGTCGACAGGAAGGATGCCGCGTAACCACACCTCGTGGGCGAGCGGACCGTCGAGGAAGTACCAACAGACGATGAGATCCTGCCTCCGGAGGACTCCCAATTGGCGAGGCGTTCTGCCCGAAAAGCGGCGCACTACAAACCGTGGCTCCCGAGCGAAACCGGCGTGGAGCGACGGGTGCCGAGGCCGCGGTTACGCCGTGGGTGGACCAGGGCACCTTCTGCGGGGGGCGGGGGGGCAGCCGCAGGGGGTGGGGCGGCCTGGCGTCTGCTGGCGCTGGCCCCAGCGCCCCGGGGGGGGCGCCGAGGCCGCGGTCGCGCCGTGGGTGGCGGACGCAGCTAACAGCCGCAGAAATAATGAAAACAGCGGGCGGTCCCGGGCAGCTCCTGCGGGGGGGCAACCGCAGGAGGAGGGGCGGGCCGGGCGGTCCAGGAAGTTCATGTGGGCATCTGCTGGCCCTGGCCCCGGCGCCCCCAGGGGGCGCCGAGGGCCGCGGTCGCGCTGTGGGTGGCGGACGCAGCTGACAGCCGCAGAACTAGTAAAGACAATGGGCGGGCCCGGGCACCTCGCGCGGGGGGGCGGCCGCAGGAGGAGGGGCGGGCCGGGCGGTCCAGGAAGGCGGCCGGCGAGCCTGGGATCAGTGGGTAGGCCCGGGCACCACCTGCGGGGGGGCAGCCGCAGGAGGAGCGATGGACCTGGACGGACCAGGGAAGCGACTAACTGCCGCGCAGACCTGGGTCCATGAAGCGAAGGTGCGTGGGGGACGGGGGGACGGAGGGCAGGTGAGGGGACGCAGCTCAACAGCCGCAAAGTCAGTGAAGAGCCCGGGGGGGCAGCAGCCGCAGTGGGGGCCGACGACGGGGGGCGCGTGGGGGCGGGGGCCGGGGGCGGACGGGGGGCGGCCGAGGGGGGCCAGCGACGCGACGCAGAGGAGGTGGAGGGCGCAGCTAACAGCTGCGGGTTGAATGTCAAATTCAATTGGGAACGTGGGGGGCGGACAAGGGGCGGAAGCCAGGCGGCGGCGGGCCCGCCCGGCAGAGGGGGCCGAGGGCGCGAGGGGGGCGCGGGGGGGGGGGGGGGCAGCTAACAGCCGCGGTCAGAGCAGGGCGCCAGGGATGGGGGCCGGCAGCGGGCAGGGCCCGAAGTGGGGGGGGGCCGCCAGGGCGGGAGTCTGCATGGCGGTGGGCGGGCCCTCGTTGCCGGGCGGGCGATGAGAGCCAAGCGCCGACGTGCAGGGCAGCGAATGGCTGCGAGTGGCGCCGCGTGGGCTCTAACAGTGTTGGAGGCTCGCCCGGGGGAGGGGGCCAACCCCCGGGTTCGCCTCAGGCGTGTAGGGGGGGAGAGGGGGCGGCAATCATCCAGGGGGGGAGGGGCCGCGAAGTGGTGTCCAGAAGGGGCTCTAGGGCCTCTACTGAGATGAATGTCGGCTTTGTTACAGCTTATGAGCTTTATAAGGATATGATAAGGTCGTTGTAGGCTACGCCCAACCCACTTGTAAGCCAGCAGCATGATGCTATAGCTGCGTAGCTTGTTTGTCATATTTAGCTAAAGTCCATGCGGACTTTAATAAGCCAACATGAACAGTATTATAGGTTCAGCTGTTGTTAAGTAGGTTATTGGTACAACATAGCTTTTCATGGTATATGTGCTACACTGTTTATCGAATGCCAAACATAAATGGAGACCGTAGGTTAACATAATAACTAATTTGGCTTAACATCGAAATTCGACCTATGCTGACACCCGAGAAATCCGTTTTCACAAATATTCAATATGTGCGTTTTCGTGTTTAACCTGTAGCTTCCAACACAATAGCATGTAGCTTCCGAAGCGTTACAAGCATGAAACCCATGCTGGGCCACAAACGCAAAAACACGAATCAGCGTCGCACATCTGTCAGGATTTGAGCATCGAGATTTGACCAACCTTTTTTGCACGTCCCATCATTCGAGCAGTCGAATTGTGTCCCGCGTGATTCTTATGTTTGCTAATCCATATTGCAGCTTCGGGATCACCGCGCGAATCGCTCCAGGGCCCGTTCGGCGGATTCAATAGCAACCGCCATGGCGCATGCCATCATCACTGTTTTAACAAGCGTGGGCTCCGAATTTGTGGATAAGACCGGGGGGGGGGGGTGGCCTGCAATCCACTATAGATGAGGGGCCTGGAACGCTTTACTTGCGATGTATACGTTCACCATTGCACTTGCATTTGCCTCCCGTCGTTTGCAGCCGCCTCGGCTCATAGCATCAGCTGTGCTTTTCCAGAGCTGCTCACTTACGAGCTCAGCTACCGCGTGTGCAATGGCCGAGCTTAGCCAAGCTTTCAAACAGGAGTTCCAGCAGATTTTGGACATGAAGAAAATGAAGGCGAATGAGCATTTGGATAAGCTTATGCAATGCCTTCGCGGGCACAAGCTGGCTTACACAGTGGACCGCATTCCCCCGAAGTTTTTCCTCGCGCATGCGGTCAATAGGGGGGGGGGGGGGGGGGCTTCTGCTGAGCCCGCATGACGTGCACCGCAATGCTGCTAGGATCCACGCGTGCGGAGCTGACATTCGCCAGCTATCCAATGCTCTGTGCATCGAGCTTGGGGTCACTTCCCACCTCCGCTGGACGCACATCAATAAAAATAAGCAGCTGGTGGATCGAGCCCAAGGGCTTCTAGCGCCTGTGAATGGGTCAGAGCGCTACGTGACAGTCGGGTGTGGGCACGCCACGGCTTTCTGTAAGCAGGCAGGGGTCCAAGGCAAGACGTCTCAAAAGTCATTGCAATGCATTGACTCAGACATGATAGATTTGCAAAAGCTGTTCCAAAACGAGCAATTCAAAATCATGATTGAGAAGGGCTGGAAGTGGGAGGTGGTCCCCAATGTGATCGACGAGCTATTCCCACGCTTCGCTGTTATTGCCCAGAGGGCTTTGAACACGCAGAATCACGTCGGCACTGAGGTTGGGGAGCTTGAGACTTGCATGACGTTAGCGGCGAGTGCCAATGACCCAGGGATGCGTGAGCTCGAGAGCTGGAAAGAGTTGGCAATCGAGAGCGTTGTTTCGCTTAACGCGCCGAGCGCCAAGTACAGCAAGATATTGCTTGAGTTTGTCGAGAATTTCGGCGGTGGCGACGGTGCTCCACTCGTGGCGTTCATGGATTCGGTTGCGAAGCAATTTGGTTGCAATGTTACGCTTGGCCAAAGTTTTGGGAATCGCTGACTCACGCAACGCTTGCGTCCGAAACCAATTGGCATCCGTTGGTGCGGGTGTCGCTTGCTATCGCAAACCTCACTGGCGACAAGGTTGAGGACGGCGTGGCGCGTTTGCTGATGACGGCTGACGTCTCGAAGGTTGCAGGCAAGCCTAAGCAGGCTGAAGCACTGATTGCTGAACGCATACTTGGAGAGGCCACGGGTATCGCAAAGGGGCTCGACGGCATCGAGGCGGCCTTGGAGCCGTTAGGGCAGCTATTCGTGAGGGTTGCTTTGAAGCTTGTGGGGAAAGAGAAGTCGGGTCGGGAGGGGGCCGTGTACACGTGGGGCGACATGTGCAAATCATTCTTGAGCGGTGTCAGCTCCATCAAGGGTCAGACCGTCACGTTCGATGAGTGGAATACGTATTCGGTCCCGAGCGGTGCAGCTGCAACTGCCAAGGCAATGCCTGCAGCGTCTGCCACGGCGACGCTCAACGACCATAAGGGCCCTGCGTGGATTGCCAAGAAGGCTGGTTACTCGGTCGGGTCCTTCGTAGTTCAGAAGGATGTTCCAGCCCAGAGGCTTTACGCTGTCTTCAGCATCGGCCATATGGTCAAGCTTCGCGGGGTGGTCAACCACGGCGGAGAGCCACACGCGGCTGAAATTGCATTGGAAGGTCTCCTTGGTAAGTGGTCGCTCTCAAAAGCTGAGCCGCCAAAGCAGATGGAGGGTGATCAGCAGCGGCCCCGTCAGTTGTACACCGACAAGCAAAATGCTATATTGTACCGAGCTCTTCTCGAGCTAGACGCCAAGCACATGGGAAAGCAAACGCTAATCTTCTGGCGGAAGCCAGATGAGGTTCGGACCACGTGTGCGATCAAGCAGGGGCAGCTTACACTGGTCCCAGTGGCACCGTTGGTCAACATAAGCTCGAAGAACGCGTCTAATGGGTCGGGCGCGCCGCTTGGCGACCACACGATTGGCAGCGGCACGCCGCTTCATTTTTTTGTTTTGCCTGTGCCGAAGCCGAGCGACAACGGCGCCAGCAAGCTCGATGAAGCCGCGTTCGTGGCTGCGTACTGGTGGGTCGCGACAACATACGATAAGAAGCAAGCCAACATGGCTACGAGCCACGTGTCCCACGGTGGCATCATGCTGCCAGTGCTGACCAACATTACCGACATCGGGCCGAACGTAAAGCCCCAGGTATTCGTCAAGCCCAAGGCCAAGGCTGCGCCGATCCACGAGGAGAGCGCCAAGAAGCAGAAGAGGTCGTAAGCATCGCATTCAGCGCGGATGCTACATCAGGGGTGCGTTTTGTATCGCACGCGTTGTGTTATCCTAAGCTCTACGATTGAACCAGTCCAGCACTCTGCAGTGCTACAGTCAATATGTTGCCGCGCCGTGGATGGGGGGAGGGGGGGGGGGATGACGTGAGACGAGGATTGGGGGCTGGGCGAGCTGTCCCCGTCGGCCAGCACGAAGCTTTCTACATTGATACGTGCTAACGGGCATGCAGATCAGCCAGGCGCTTATTCGGCAATTGACGTGGTGTTCTTGCGAGTAGCCATCACGCCAGCGACGTCAGAAACAAACTCCGTTCGAATCGGCTGCACCCGATGCCGCCCCATTCTGGAGCTCCAGGGGGTAGCAATGGCCATGTGGGAGGAGGGGGGGGGGGGATGGCGAGATTTAGCAAGGTGTAGATACGATTGCGTTTTCTCATTTGCCCGGGTGCAGCGAAGCACGCTTCTGACTTTGCATCGGGCTTGAGGGGTATAGCCTGCCGACCTTTGTCGTGCAACCATCTGCCTGATGCACCCTGTATCGTTGCCCCCCACCCCACCCCGCCCCACCCCCCCACCCACCCACCCACCCCCTCAGCAATGCTTAGGCTGGAACGACCAAGCGGGGGATAACGAGAAGGAAACGCGGAATGCACGCAGGGGGGCCGGGCAGGATGAAGGAGGGAATGAAGAAGGTATACAAGGTAGGAAGTACACGGGAAGCGGGGGGTACACGGGAGGTGGGGCATGGGGTACAAGGGGCGCGGGAAGTGGGCATGGGGGTATGCGGGCGGTGTATATGGGGGGTAATACATACCGTGCACCACCCCCTCCCAAATCTTCCCGTGCACCCCGTGCACCCCCTCTCGTGCCCAGCGCGCTAAATACCCCCCGTGCACCCCCATGCCCCCTCTCATTCGTCTCCTGGCCCCGCATGACGTTGCCCCCTGCGTGTCGCGCTTCTGCGAAGTAACCGTAGCCGCGCGGGCTCAGGGGCAACCGAGCGTCTAGCATCACGATTTGCTCTTCGCAATATGCAGGCAGCTACGCTTGAACTTTCCCGAACTGTCAAGGTGGATGGACTCCAGCCAGTTTGGCGGATTTTCAAGCCGCATGATGTGACTACAGTGGGTGACGATACGTTTGTCCGAATCTCACCAGCGCAGTATACATTGAACAGCCTTGTGGCTTGTGCTAATGATGGGGTCCCATCGGGACTGGAACAACAGGCCGCAATCTTGAGCAGGGGGCTGAAGGCGTTGCTAGCCCAGCGGCATCAGCAGCAGTCGGATGACTTCACTCAGGAGCAGGGGCAGCGCGTGTGCAGCTTGTTAAAACGCCACCGAAACAACCCAAAATCGTCAAGTCCCATGCCCATAAGGCTGACATGAGGCGGGATCCTGAGGTCATGTGCTTGGACGTGGAAGTTAAAGGACGTTCTGTTCAAGTTGATGTTCTGAGGCCTATCCATCCGTGTGACAACCTCTTTGTAGTGTATAAGCCCGATGCTTTGGCCGCGGTGATACACATCATGAGGGAAATGGGGTTCGATGAACCGCAGAAGCGAGAGCCGGTGCCCAAGAATGTCCACGAGAGAAACGGTTTTTCCTCGCCAAGTTTGATAAGGGGGATGGTACGAACGGCTACAAGAAGTGTAAGACAATCGAGGATGCGGTTACGTTCCTATCTACCGATCCCTCAGAACATATCGGTGATGCTTGTAAGGGTGAAGAGGTTTCCCCGAGTGAGCTTCCCGACGACGGCGCGCCTGCGGGCTCAGAGCCAGGACATGGCTGAATTAGTTGTGAGCCACGTGGCTAAACATGCCCGCGTGATTGGGGTCTGCGGGCTTCGCAATTCTACGTGGATCCGTGCTGTGTCGTTTGAAAAAGTAATCGGGCTGCGTCTGGGCACGTCGAGCCGCGTGGCTGCATGGGCGCGTGTCCGTAGCCCATCAGGCTCAGGATTCAGCGCGCGCGTGCGCTCGATAGCTTCTCGCTTGCTCGCGCGCTGACTTTCGAGGCCCCGGGGCCCGATATGGCTCCGAAGAGGCGCGCCCCAGCTGGCGTCGTTGTCGCTGCCAGCGGGGGCACCGAGGCCGACCGCTTGCAGGAGAAGATCAGTGCCTTGAAGAAGGACCGTGATTTTTGGAAGGAAAAAGCCCTCGGGCTCGAGCGCTTCGTCGCTGTCGTGGCAAACAAGTCGGGGCAGAACAAGCACGCGAGGAAGGTGTTCATCGATGTCGGGCGGCTGTGGGTCGGCGCCTACGCCGTGGGCTCGCAAACCCTATCGACGCAGCTCGGCAGGCTGCAGCGCATCACGGGGTTGCCCGAGGTGTTGCCCAGCGCTTGAGCACGGCTTTTGCTAGCCGAGAGCTGTCATTCGCCAGCGCGCGTGAGTGGCGCGCCATATCCATGTCGCGTAGCGCATGCGCTTCCATGAGCGTCCGTGCGCTTCCAGTTATCGGCCCCAGCGTTGACGCTGATCTCTTGAGCGTGGGAGCTCCAGCCCCACGCTGAACTTAACTCTTGCATGTCGTCGTCATCATGTGTCCTGCAGTTGCTTTGGCTGTCGTCCCCACGCGTCGTTGCACCATGTAGTGAACGCGCTTCCGATCCCATGTCCAGGCCGTATTCTATGTCCAACTGTTAGTGGAAGTATAGTAGCAGTAGAAGGAGGAGGAGGAGGAGGAGGAGGATGAGGAGGAGGAGGAGGAGGAGGAGGGGCAGGGGGGGGGGGGGGGTGGGGGGGTGGGGCGGGGGGGGAGGGGGGGGGAGGGAGGAGGAGAAGAAGGCGGAGGCACCAATGGCACATGTGATTTCTGAGGGGCTCAGAAATCACATGACCAAGCCTGCGCGCGCACTTGCCAGGGGGAGGAGGAGGACGACGACGCAGAAGACGGAGGAAGAGGATGATGAGGGGGATAAGTCTTAATGCAACACAAGCAGTTGCCAGGAGGAGGAGGATGAGGCAGGGGACGATGAGGAGGAGAAGGAGGATAAGTATAAGGAGGGATGGGGGGAGGGAGGAGGGGGATGAGGAGGAGGATTAGCCATCTGCGGCGCCGTCTCATTTCGTATGTGCCGTCGTTCTCCTCGCTCCCTTCCCTCCTCCTCTCCTGGCTCCGTGGCCTCTCTCTCTCTCTCTCTCTCGCTCTCTCTCTCTCTCTCTCTCTCTCTCTCTCTCTCTCTCTCTCTCTCTCTCTCTTCTCTCTCTCTCTTCTCTCTCTCTCTCTCTCTCTCTCTCTCTCTTCTCTCTCTCTCTCTTCCTCTCTCTCTCTTCTTCTCTCTCCCCTCTCTCTCTCTCCTCTCTCTCTCTCTCTCTCTCTCTCTCTCTCTCTCTCTCTCTCTCTCTCTCTCTCTCTCTCTCTCTCTCTCTCTCTCTCTCTCTCTCTCTCTCTCTCTCTCTCTCTCTCTCTCTCTCTCTCTCTTTCTCTCTCTCTCATCTCATGGGGTGGCCCCCTAGCCTCGCCCCCCTCCGCGTAGAATCAACAACAGCAACAGCACATGCAGTTCGAGCTGGGAAGGGATGTTGGGTAGCAGCGGGTCGTGGTATCATTGGTCATTGGCGTGTGTCGCGTGTGTAGTCGCACTCTCTGCCCCCTCGCTCGTCCTTGCCATTGCCCCGCGGCCCCCCTCACTCATCTCGTAGGTTGGCCCTCCACGTCGCCCCATCCTTATAAAGTCGTCACGCATCAAGCTGGGAATGTCATGGCCCCCGACTTCCGTTAGAGTCCCCGATGTGGCCCCGCAGTTTCTCGTGACCTAGCTGGGGGTTGGCATGTCACGCGGGGGCCTCAGAGGTCAGATACGCAACGCCGAAGACAGATCATCATATGAAAGGATCTGTCTTCGGCGTTGCGTGTCCAGAAGGTTCGCCCATCCAGAAACGACTTACAGACCTCATCCGCACATCTTCCATGCACCTCCTCCGCATCAGCCGTTTTGGCTGGAGGCGCCGCGAGGGCGCGCGCCGCGCTGCTTCTTGCGCGGGCCCGCGCTGGCCTCCCCCGCAGCAGCCACATCGCTGCATAGCTGCAGCAGCCTCCTGGCATCGCTGCACAGCTGCAGCAGCCACATCGCTGCATCGCTGCAGCAGCCACATCGCTGCATCGCTGCATAGCTGCAGCAGCCACATCGCTGCACAGCTGCAGCAGCCACATCGCTGCGCAGATGGACAGGCTCCGCGGCAGGGGCCTCGTCGCTGAGCGCAACCTCAGGCGCGGCCCGACGCAGCCGTCGATGCCGCCGCCGACGAGGCTGAGGCTGACGCCAGCGGGCGAGGCCAGCTGGGATGAGGAACCCAGTATATACAGATCCGGTTCTCTTGGTCCTTCTCTCCCCGTCTCCTTCCTCGGTTTTTCTAGAGGACGATGAGGCGTGGGGGAGGGCCGAGAGAACCGACATGTCTTGTTTTCCTCATCCCAACCTCGACGGCGACACGGCATTCCTCGCCGAGATCGCCGAGCAGGTTGGAGTGCTGGAGTACAACGCCTTTCGGCACACCACGTTGGCCGTCGTTGTGGACGACTATGATAAGTGCAGCACGTTCCTCCAGAATTGCGAGGAGAGCACGCTGCGCATGGTCGAGATGTCGGCTGGCATGTATTTCAACACAGGTGTTGAGCTCTCGGGGGGGTGGATATGGAAGACGATCGACAAGGTCGTCGACGACGGGGAGCCCACCACCTTCTATATCTTCCGTGCCGAGGACGGGTGGTACGCTGCGGACACGCTGTGGACTACAGTGCAGGGTCGGAAGCAGGCTGCCACCGACGGGAAGATCCTGTTCTGGTCCGCGGCGAGCGGCGACTTCGAGGACGCGCCCTTGCAGCCCCTGCACTACCCGTGGTGGGCGACGTCAGAATCGGACGGGGTGTCGGTGATGTCGGGCCATCACGCGTTCGAGCAGCTGCTCAACAAGGGCGCTGGCTCCGACAAGGGCGGCGGCGGCTCCGACACGGGCGGCGGCTGCTCCGACAAGGGCGCTGGC